GTGGGATAAATGACGTCCAGACCGCCGAGTGGACCAATACAGGACCGTGCTTGATGGCAAAACACGTCCGTACCACACGGTCTGGGCGGCTGCGGGCGGCTTGAGGGCCCGTGTTGGAGATGCCGTTATCCTCTTTATTTTTTGTTTGTTCAGCTGAGATGACATGTTAAGAGATGCTGCTATTTTGACGTACATGACATCTTAGAAACTACCGGTTTTCATTTGTTGTCATTCTACTGATCTTTCCCGTTCGAGTTAAAAAATTTATTTGCTTATGTCGCGTGCATTTCTAATAGCTAGTTGCGCTTGGCTGTCAAATTGCCATGGTTCATTTTCATGTTTTTATTTATTTTGTGATTGATACTTACATTGACTAACCATAATAATTTCACTGCAGATGGTAGGCACAACAAGAAGTTAATTTTGATAGGTATGTCTATCATGGCTTCTGCTCAGAAAATGCATGAGACTTTGTCACAAACTTCCATACTTTGATGCTTTCTAAAGGCAAACTGCTAAGTCTAAAATTAACCAAATTATAGAGATTGCTAAGTCTAAAATTAACCAAATTATGGAGATTTCTAATATAATGGCGTGAAATTGAAAGATTCCTAAATGGCTATATTAGAAAAGAGATAGTTTACACAGTCTCATACATATACTGATATACTATCAACTTTACTAAATGATGTTCACTTTTCGTGTTTTTTTACAGTTTCTCTGTCTGCTGCAATCATCTTACTAACATGTCTAGTTTGGGGGGTGCACCGACATAAGCAAAAGATTGGTCTTTTCATCCTCCCAAAGCAGACTGGTAATAAATCAAGCATGGAAGAAATGCTGAGGAGGTATGGACCTTTGGCTCCGAAAAGGTACAAGTACTCAGAGCTAAAACAAATGACTAGCTCTTTCAAGGATAAACTTGGAGAAGGTGGATATGGCACGGTATTTAGGGGTAGCCTAAAAGATGGTTGTGTGGTTGCCGTGAAGCTCCTAAAAGCTTCCAAAGGCAATGGAGAGGAGTTCCTAAATGAAGCAATTAGCATTGGTAGGACATCACATATTAACATTGTCGGTCTGCTCGGTTTTTGCTTAGAAGGAGCTAAGCGAGCCCTTGTTTATGAGTATATGGCTAATGGTTCACTGGAGAAGTATATTTACACAGAGAATTCAGATCTAGTTATTGGATGGGACAAGTTACAACAAATAGCACTTGGCATCGCACGAGGATTGGAATATTTGCATCAAGGATGTAGTACTCGCATCATCCATTTTGACATCAAGCCTCAGAATATACTTCTAGATCAAGATTTTTGTCCCAAGATTGCAGATTTCGGTTTAGCGAAACTGTGTCACCTCAAGGCCGGTAGCATCCTCTCCGTCGCCGAAGCAAGAGGTACCATTGGATTCATTGCTCCAGAAGTATTCTCTAGAGGTTTTGGAGTCGTTTCTACAAAGTCAGATGTCTATAGCTATGGAATGATGCTCCTGGAAATGGTAGGAGGAAGGATAAATAAAGGAAAAAGGAATACCGAGAGCTCAAGCGATGTGTATTTTCCAAACAGGATCTATGACAGTATAGCAGAACAGGTACAAACTTGTGAAGTCATCTACGACCTTGAAGAGGCCATGAGAAAGATGGCCTTAGTGGGCCTATGGTGCATACAAACTAACCCCGAAAACCGTCCTTCGATGAGCAAGGTGATTGATATGTTGGAAAAGAGCATCAACGAATTGGAGATGCCACCGAAGCCGTTCCTTTCATGTCCCTCGATCCCGTCATACTTGTCGTCGCATACAAGTTATGGTTACATATCATCGTATTGCTCCGCATCCCCTGCTCCGTTACCATAGCCAAAAGGAAGATTAAGTGGACAAATGTAAATTCGAATTGCCACTGCATTACCATTATGATATTACAGTGTGTACCAGTAATATATATTTCTCAGACGTTGCATCGTGTCTCTCATAATGGCCGGGCTGTTTGAGATTATTGTATTTAATACGATATGTGAGTTAAAACATGGATAACCAAATAAAAGTTGGTTGGGTAATTCATTTGTTTGGCATTCCAACTTCCAACAATGGTACCTAACTCATAGTATAAGTAAGCGTCGTAGTACCTAAGCCATAGACAAGTAGTTAGGGGCCTTGGAAACCCAGTAAGCGTCGTAGAGCATCTATTCTAACCACGACCAGACGACCCTACAAAATTAAGAAACCTGAATGCTTCGTTGTGAACCTGAATATTGCAGCAATACATGCCCAGATCGAAGTATCTTATCCAAGAATGAAACATATAAAATAAGCAGATCATATTGCTCTGTTGAAGTAACAACTATCAAAAGTTGGAAAAAATAGAGGCCAAATCAACCATAGAACCAAAAGCGAGCGCACTGAATTTTCACCTTGCTGCTCTTGGCAACCACGGGATTTTCACCTACTCCTGGCGCGGTGCACATCACGCTACCGTGTCGTTACTCTCCCTCAACACCACGTCCGGGGCCCAGCATTTCCTGCCGTGACCACCGGAGCCATGGCCGTAGCAAGCCATGCGATCACGTGGCGGGAGAGGTGAGAAGCTCTTCGTCGTGCGGGTCACGACGATAGCTCCGGATTGCAGCGGCGCTGGCGCGGGAGGGAGGTAGCACGGCGAGATGGCGCAGCGAATCGAGGCATGGCAGATTTGTTTCGAGCAACACAAGGCATGGCAGATCAGGCAGCGGCGGCGGCATAACACTTGCAGATTTGTGCTCTCGGCCTTTTTCCTGTTCACTGCAAACAAACAAAAATACTTCTACCAGAAAAGGCTTTTGTCTCGCTTTATATATAAAGCAATACCACCTAGCCGATACAAAAGTGGTGAGAGAACCATTTTACACAGCAGATTAAGGATAAACATATAAACAGAAGTAGCCACACCGCAACAAGAAGCACCCAGGACTACTAGCTAGAGGAGGAAACCACGCCTCCAAAAGAAACGACCGGATATCGCTGCGACGTACACATCAAGCTGTCGCTGGAGAGGGCCTCCTGCCCTCTCGCTCCGGGCCATGGAGCGCCAATCCTGCTAGCAGATACCAAGGACCGAGAACATTGCCAATGAAGTCGCGTTTAAAAGATAGGAAGCAACCGAGACCACTTCATGTTGGGGAACGTAGTAATTTCAAAAAATTTCCTACGCACACGCAAGATCATGGTGATGGCATAGCAACGAGAGGGGAGAGTATAGTCTACGTACCCTCGTAGACCATTAAGCGGAAGCGTTATGACAACGCAGTTGATGTAGTCGTACGTCTTCACGATCCGACCGATCCAAGCACCGAACGTACGGCACCTCCGTGTTCAGCACAAGTTCAGCTCGATGACGTTCCCCGGGTTTCAATCCAGCAAAGCGTCGGGGATGAGTTCCGTCAGCACGACGGCGTGGTGACAATGATGATGTTCTACCGGCGCAGGGCTTCGCCTAAACTCCGCGACGATATGACCGAGGTGGAATATGGTGGAGGGGGGCACCGCACACGGCTAAGGAACGATCCGTAGATCAACTTGTGTGTCTATGGGGTGTCCCCCTGCCCCCGTATATAAAGGAGCAAGGGGGGAGGCTGGCCGTCCCTTAGAGGGCGCGCCAAGGAGGAGGAATCCTCCTCCTAGTAGGAGTAGGATTCCTCCTTTCCTACTCCTACTAGGAGGAGGA